ATTGCCCTAGCTGCGATACAAGAATATCTGCAAGCGGGATCTGAAGGCCTTAGAAATGGACCTCAACAGATGGGAAACCCTGAAATCTGAGCATTCAGCCTAGAGGCAGGCGGTGCATCATGGCCTCTCCCGATTTGAAGAGACCCTTGTCCAGCAGGCCGAGGCAAAGAGGCAGTCATGAAAGCAGCGAAATGAGGGAGCTGGACAGGGGACAGATTGTATTTGTCTTCAGTGTGGAAGGGATTGTTACTCTCGAATTGGCCTTCTCAGCCACACTAGACGCTGTTCCAAGTCCTCCATACAGAGCACATTACCATAGTCTTTCGAGACTGAAGGATGCCTAAATGGATTGATCTCAGTTACCATTCAAATATAGTACTTGTTTAATTCTTTTTTAATATTAGTGTACTTACTGTTTTAGCTTTTAAATGTTGTTTTAGTGATGTAAGTTGCTTTGGGTTCTTTTGGGGAGAGGGCAGCATAGAAATAAAATGAAATAAATTCGTACTCCATGCAATCCCAAATGTGCCGCACAGACGGTCCCTTTTTGTGGTGCCAGCAACAGCACTGGCCTGAGGCAGATAGCTTAAACAGATTATGAAGGGCTTAAAATGCAAATAAAAATAGTGTTGTGTTAAAAATCCTGCTAAGATAACAAGGAACAACTGCTTGATTCATGGGCTGATCCTGAACACCATATGGAAGACATTCCTTTTCTTAAGGACAGCCTACACGCAGAACAATCAAAATCAGATGGCATGCACTTGGTTTAAGGATCTCCAATAAGGTCCAAGAATGGCAGTTTCCTAAGCACTGTGCAATGTATATACAAATGAAAACATAGCAAAGATGAAGATTTTTTGCTCTACGTTTAGCACTGTTTTCTCTGGGATACTTACAACACTGTGGAAACAAAGCAGACTGCTAGAGTACTACCTGGAAATGCGTACTAGACAGGAGGAGAGAGGACACCATTACTATAAGTAGCAACCAGTGTCAAAATGTTTACCAAACACCCCTTCCTATGACAGAGAAGCTCAAGTAATTCAAAATTGGCTTTCAAATCATGTTGAATTTCCCCACAGTTCAGTATCAGCCAGAATGGGAAGTCCACTAAATACTGCTACAAATTCATTCCTGTGAGTAAAAGTAAAATGTTCTTTCTGCTCTGTGAAAAAGGCATCCTTGCTAGAAATGCATTTCCGTGAATTGGCAGATTATATAGTCATATAACATTACCTTATTCAAAATATCTGTCCAGGAAACCTAGATTTTACATCAGTCAAGGGAGCTTACTTCCCAAGGGAGCCCAAGGAAAATAACATCACTGGGAATGCCTGGAACTGCTATATAGCCACTCAGTTGTTTAAGCATCTGGCCGTGGAGCCGGAGACTGAGAGTCCAATTCGTCACTCTGCCTCCTTGACAAGGGTTGGATCTGATAATCTATAGAATCATTTCCAGCTCTGCAGTTCTAAGATGATGATAATGGTGATTAAATGGGAGCTGCACTGAGGAGCTCAGTTCAGAGAAGGTCAAATTCTGCTCCTCACCCAAAACATGGCCATCCCACTGCTACAGTTGCAGAGAAGCTTTCTTCCTACTCCCAATAGCGTTATGGTATCACTTCCATGCTGAAACACTTGCATTGGTTGGCAGTTCTTCTGTGAGCTCAATTCAAGGGGCCAGATTTGGGTTTGGAAATTTCCAATGGCTTATAGACTGGCAATTTGAAGGGCTGCCTGTCTTGGTACAAACCTGCTTAATCATCAAGATCAGCAAGGGAGGCAACGGTGAAGATCCCCCTCCTTGCTCTATGCTCCAGGCAAGGAGGAAAAGGGCCACTCCCAAATTCAGGAACACACACTGGGACCCATTCTCTCTGCACTGAAGAGGTCAAGTCAGATCTTCTAAACTTTTTAAAAATGCATGTATAGGTACTTACTTCATTATGCTCTATTTTTGGATTGTTTTCTTCTTAAGGGGAGTTTGAGAAAAGCAGAATAGGTATACTAGACAGGAATAAATAAGCTTCCATGGTGTTATGGACGATAGTCTTTTTCCTTTCTTTCATATAAGCAAATTGCCATCATGTCTTGATTGAATTTTAAAATAAAATCGACAGTGATGTTTCACATAAACATATGGTATCTCTTCCTTCTTAATACAGGATTATCCATCAAGATGGTTACACGGAAGAAGAATGTTTGGAGTTCAAAGCAGTCATCTATGGCAACATTCTACAGTCCATCCTGGCCATCATCAGAGCGATGCCCACTTTGGGGATAGACTATGCAGAGTCCAGCCGAGCGGTCAGTTATTATCATGCTTGGTGGCCAAATGTTTTTCTTAAGCCAGAAAGTAAGGTTGGAATCAGACTTCTCTGGAAACGTGTGTGTGCGTGTGTGAGAGCGCTACAGCTCCCAATCTGGGTCTTAATCCAAAAAAGAGACTTTTGCAAGCTCTGTCTGGACATGAGAGAAGCAAGGGTTCAGAGCCTGCAATTTTGGGAACAGCATTTTCATTCTAACGCAGGGACAATGGGAAATGGTTATGTATGGATGAGGCTATGCATGGTGGGGTTGATTTGATGGGAGGACATGAAAGTAGCATTTAAGGTATTTTTTATTCTGGTTCAAAACCAGTATATTTCTTAGTATACTCTAAGATGAAAAATCACACTGTTGCCTTTACATAGTCACCTATTTACTTTCAGTGAGGGAGGTGCTGAAAAGAACAACTATAGTTTTCAGGGCCCTCCAGCGAAAGCCACTGTTCAGTGATGCCACCTGGTGGTTGCTGCAATTTTTGCAAGCATTATCAGTCTCCTAGCCACAGCTTCTCAATTCAATGTACAGTATTCGCGAAGGCTTTCACGGCCGGGATCTAATGGTTGTTGTGGGGTTTTCAGGCTCTTTGGCCATGTTCTGAAGGTTGTTCTTCCTAACATTTCATCAGTCTCTGTGCCCATCATCTTCACTGCAAGCAGCAGGCTCTTAGAATGGCTCTAAGCTTAAGAAATGCCCCTATTCCAAGAAGCCTTCCTAGTCCTAGCATTGAATGCTTTCAGGAATCAGGCAGAAAATTAGCTTTTCAGAATGGTCGGTAGATCTTAGATTTACCCTTATATACAAATACTGCCAACCTGCCAAGTTTCCACAGACAGTGAATAATTATTCATTGGAGATATTATTTTAAACAGAAGATAGCCCACCTGTTAGGGATGCTTTAGCTGTAGATTTCCTGCTTCAGCACTTTGTTTTGGTCCCTTCTAAATCTACAGTTCTATAATCCATATTATCCATCCCGTTTTGTCTTCAATGAAGTAGCTAACAACCAACCAACCAGGAAAACAGTAAATATTTTAGAGTGCTGTCCTCTGAAGATGCCGGCCACAGAGACTGGCGAAACATTAGGAAGAACAACCTTCAGAACATGGCTAAGAGCCTGAAAAACCCACAACAACCAGCTTCTCAGTTCATTCACAGAATTACTTTCAGGAAAGACCTCAGGTGGCATCTTGATTGTGTGTAAAGTTAAACTCCCCATACTCTTATTTTGGGGCAGTTACAATCAGGATGCAAGTGGTTTATTCTGAAATACACAGTGCAGTGTTACAGACAGTGTGGTAAGACACGACTCAGATGAGATGCTGTGCTGTAACAGACTGCTACAGAGATCATGTCAAGATGATAACATACAAACATGCATCTGAGTAGCAGTAACGCTGAATGACAAACACTGTTCTAGTTTGGTGTTTCTGGCATTGCAGGGCGCTGTAGACTTTAGCACCCACAGCAACTGCAGATATCAATCTTCTTATTGCATTCCATGGGAAGGAAAGCCATTACTTCAGTGAACAAACCACTGATCACCCGAGAGGAGTTTTCCTCCCTCCAGCTCAAAACTGGTTTGCAAAGACTTTTTTCTCTCCATGTATGATCATAGACTAGTTTTCTCAGTGAAGAAGAAACCTGTCTCTTAAAATCAGAAAGGAGAAAAATATGGACTTCTTAATACGCATGTTTGTGTGTCTGTTCATCATTAAAATTGAACAGAGACATGATTTGTCTGTTAAATCCCATGTTTTTTTAACCACCATTCAAGTCAGTCATCAAGGAAACATGTACCCCTTAGGAGGGGCAAGTAGGGCAACTATAGCAAGGATATTTCAATGCTTCCACAACTGGAAGCAACCAGAGGTCCACCTCTAGTTTGGAAAAATCTGTTGTTGTTTTAATGTTAAGACCATGCAGGATAACTTGTTTAAATGGTGAACACCTCTAGTTTGGAAAAATCTGTTGTTGTTGTTTTAATGTTAAGACCATGCAAGATAACTTGTTTAAATGGTGAATTGCATCTGCTGGATGTTTCCATGACCACTAGAACACTGGTTTTTTGATGATATTTTTGGGATGGGGTGGGGTGGGAGAACCTCAGGGAAATGGAGAGGGCACCCTTTGCCCCCCCTTTAATAGGCTCTCTTTCTTTTTACAGGATGATGGGCGACAGCTTTTTAACTTGGCTGACTCCATTGAAGAGGGAACCATGCCTCCAGAGCTAGTGGATTGTATAAAGAAACTCTGGAAGGATGGAGGCGTCCAGGCTTGCTTTGAGCGAGCAGCTGAGTACCAGCTCAATGACTCTGCTGCATAGTAAGTAACCACTGTAGTGGTGTCACTATGACAATCATCTTATTTGAGAGAAAAAACGTTACTAGCCCAAGGGGACCAGTTACTGAGTTAATACGAGGGGATGAAGAAGACAAATCTGGCTTCCCATCATTAAGCCTCAGTCCAAACATTGTTAATTGCCAATGTAAGTAGCATTACAGCACAAGAGGACAGACTCCTGTCTAAAACAGCAAATCATTACAAATTCTGGTATGGTGAGAAAAGAAGTTACCTACCTGTAACCCTGGTTCTTTGAGTAGTCCTCTGTGAATTCACACTAATGGGTTAATCTGTGCCTGAGCAGAGCAGTTTTAGGAAATTTCCACAGCTTTAAGCACTTAGTGCTGGGACCTCCCCTACACCTGGCTATATAACTCCGCCCCCAGCCCAGTGCTTCAGTTCTTAAGGAACCAAGCGCTAGTGCCCAATATGCCATGGCACATATGACGGACAGTGGGGAGGAGGGCGGGATGTGTGAATTCACAGGGGACTACTTGAAGAACCAGAGTTACAGGTAGGTAACCTCTTTTCTCCTTCATGTTCTCTGTGAATACACACTAATGGGTGACTGGCAAGCTGACCAACCAGGAGGAGGATCGTCAGGAAAGTGCAGAAACCAGGACAGCTCGCCCTACTGCAGCCTGAGCCTTCGGCTGGACAACCAGGCAGTAGAGCAAGATGAAGGGAGACGGAGTGGCACATGTGGCAGTCATCCGTGACGTCCATGTGACAGAGAAAGGCCATTGAGGATGCCACAGCTCTAGTAGAGTGAGTTCTCACTGACTGTGGAAGAAGAGTCTCTGCCAAAACATAGGGAAGGTGGATAGTCTGGACCATCAAGCTAGACAGGGTCTAAGAGGAAGCCGCTGCTCTGAAGGAGAACCAGCAAAGGTGACAGGGAGACGTTGAGAGACAGAGCACGCTTCACGTCTAGAGCGTGCAGAGCTGTCTCAAGCAGTGAAGATGGTGAGGGAAAGAAACCAGGAAGGACAGCTGGCTGGTTCAAATGGAAGGCAGAAAATACCTTACGCAAGAAGGTAAGGCCTGGCCATAAGGTTACTTTGCAGAAAGGAGGACCAGCTCTTAGTGTAACCAGTCCTCCAGCCCTGCAAGCTAAGGAGAATGAGCAGAACTTTCCAATACTGAACATAAGAAAGTCTTGCCACTGTTGTTGTGTATCTTATAAGTGCTGCTTTATTCTTTTCACCTGATTATCTACTATACTCAGAAGAAATCATTCAGTTGCAGATTAACTTTTAATATCTTTTGCACTGTTATGTGATCCGACTTCCAAAATTTTAAACCTATTTTACATGTCTACCACATATGATATGAAGAACCACCTTTCTCTTGGCATTTCCAGCACTTGTTGGTAACCCCTTCATATGTTTTAGACAATTATTTTTGGTGCCAAATACCATCTGTACATCATTTTATAGAAGTTTTCTTTACTGGGACTGTAGTTCTTCACTGTATCATTCATTGTGCAATGGGGATATAAAAACTACCCAACAGATTTTAAATAGCTAACCTGCTATATAATTAACACTCGCACGCTATTAGCTGAACACATCAATGAACCTGCTTCCTTTCACTGTTCTATATAGCATTGAATTCAAGATCCTTCGAGCAGTCTTGGGACCCAATTATGCAAAGTACATCCACAAAGGATCCTGTTTCAACTTCTTAGAATAAGACAAAATTGACCAAGAACTGTTCTTTTGCTTGCTGCTACATTCAACATTAATATTATGAAATGTAAGCCTTCATACTACATTTTCTTCTACAGTTACCTGAACCAACTGGATAGGATCACAGCTCCTGGCTACCTTCCCAATGAACAGGATGTATTGCGATCTCGAGTTAAGACCACAGGTATCATAGAGACCAAATTCTCTGTCAAAGACCTCAATTTCAGGTGAGCAAAAAACACTTTTTGCTGGTGTTGTTGATCTCTAATCACAATTCTTATCCCTCCAGTTTTTTCTTCACTGAAGTAGCTAACAACCAACCAACCAACCAACCAACCGGGAAAACAGTAAATATTTTAAATAAATATTTTTAGTGACCTGCATAATTTTGACATTTTGCAGCATAATCTTCATTCCTTCACCCAAGCAAAAGGACAGTTCTTGGTCAACCCAAAACTGTTGCATTATACATCTTAACAAGCCTAATGGAGAGTAAAATAAACATTTATTTAAAGAATCAAACAGATACACATTTAAACTACACTGCTGCAGGAAGACCCTTTCCCTCTGGTGTGTTTCAGCTGATACAAAATCAAATGCCATGGGCATTTCTCTTCCTTCCTCAGGATGTTTGATGTAGGTGGGCAGAGGTCCGAGCGCAAAAAGTGGATCCACTGCTTCGAAGGGGTGACTTGCATCATCTTTTGTGGAGCTCTCAGTGCATATGACATGGTCTTGGTTGAAGATGATGAAGTGGTAAGTTTTCTTATTCAAGTCTATGTCCACAGGAGAGATGAAGAAGCAAAGTGCCTTCAGCTGGCTTTTGTTGGAGTCAGCTAAACTCCTAGCTAGACTCCTAGCTGGAGCCTGCAAACACTGAAAGCAACTGTCTTTGTGTGCCTCCTGTCTTCCCATTTGCAATATGAGATGTTCCCTTGCCTAGAGAAGGTGGGGATGACTTGGGAAACTCCACAGTCTGGCTTCTGACTCCCTGTAAGCAGGATTAATCCCCGGAACTAGAAATTCTTGTATTTTACCCTATAGCATCTATGGTTGCTCGGTTGCCAACCATGCCAGCCTCTATTTTGAAATGAAACTGCCAGATAAAAACATACTGTACCAACAACCCCATTTGCTGCACCACAGAATGCTAAATTTTGCCAGAATCCAACTCATATGTAAACAGCTTGCTGAAAGTTGTGCTTCAGGTCAGCAAAACACAGAGGATAATTAAAGAGCCTTGAAGGCACTTAATGATTTGTTTGCCATACAGTGTTGTTCTGATACAAGTCCAGGAAGCAAAACATTTCCCTGACACTGGCTTAACCCCTGCCTGAAATTAAAGGTTTCTCTGTAAGCAGTTAAGAGTTGGTATCTAGAATTGGTAGATAACAGAAACCTTCCAGAACAGCTTCATTCTGATCCTCCATGTGCAGCAGAGGGACTGGAAAGATCTCATTCATCTACACCAAAGGTGACATCAATATCAACAAGATGGGGAGGGTTTTTTTAAAGCAAAGGAATAACATGCAGAATTTCTTCTCTGGTTTTGCTTCTGAAAGATTTCTGAGAGTCAGATCAAAAGGAGCTTCTGTTCAGTTTCTTTAAAGGAAGAGAATCAGGAATATCTTGTTGAATTAAAAAGAGGAAGCACAGGTGGCAAAGACTTCCCCATTTTTACAAGACCTGTATGACCTGCTGTTGAACTTATTCTTCTGAATCACACTAAAATGTATGTGTGCAAAATATAGACTTAATGGTATTTGTTTTGTTTTGAATTAGATACCAAGATTCAAGAATTTGAGTCAAATGTTTTACAATGGGGAATAATAGTCTGTATGGTGCCAAACAGGGTAGACATACTCTTAGAATTAAAGGATTCTTCTGGGCATACATTCATTCAATGAATTTGTTTTCATTGCCGGATCTGCTGTATCAGCCTTTTCACAAAACTCCATTCTTGGTTCTTGCACCCATTCCACTAAGTGTTCTGAAATTCAGGAGAGGAAGACACTTTTAATTTCCTGTTAAAACAACTGGAAATCATAAGGCCTTATCTGTCTATTGCAAACATTCCACAGTGCTACGTTTAGGACCTGCTTTCTCCCACCACCCTGCCAAACCATAGGAAAGTCCTATCTTCAACAATAGGATTAAGCTGTTGAAAATATAATGAAAAGGAAAGACCATAGGAGCACACCAACCTGGTTATGCAAAATACTTTGCAGTGTGAATGTTTCATGGATTTGTTAATTTGCTGTTTGCAACCTCTGCATCAAGTTCAATAAAACTGCTGGTCATTTGCCAGAACATTCTAATGCTGGGTTGACGAATGTCACATTCCACATGTTTGTGGCCTATAAAAAATCCTATCAGGATTACAACAGAAATTGACCCCCCCAAAAAAAAATATTTTAAAAAATCACTCTTCTGCTCTTTCCCACCAGCAGGAAAGCAAGACTTGACGCTTTATTTTTTGCATGGTTTTTTATTAACAAGTTTGTGCTTTACAGGCTTTCTCATATGATTTTTGTTAATAAGCTTCAACTTTGAGTGTAAGCTTTTTCTTACTTCAAAGTTTAAAACACCAATTTTATCCAGTCAGTGTTTTTAAAAAAGCAAGTATGTTTTTCATTTTATTGTTTAATTGTACATGAAGCTTTGCTTGCCTTTTCATGAGCGCAAGGAATGATAGGATTAGGGTTCAGAGTATTCCTGAAAGTCAGAAGCAAACCTCCTCAATCTTCTTTCCTCCACCATATTTAGCAATTTTTTTCATTTAATTTCTTCCTCTATATCTCCTGTCACTAATGACTGTATGTTACTTGTTTATTCAAAATAGTACAATCAATGTATGTACATGTACATTTGTTCTGTTATTCTTAAGGCCTGAATCCAATGTTAGCAAAATGGATCTTCCCCTCCCCTCCCTCCCCTATAGTCCAGGACATGGGTCAAAAACCAGTTTCATGGACTATCTCACCCTCCAAAGTAAATTTTTGGAATGTGAGGGAGAGGGAAGTGAAGTAGGAAGGGAAGAGTTCCTTTTCGGGAAGATTCCCTGGATTTTGGGAGAATGTGTAGTGTTTCTCTTGAAAAATTAAGATTTGTTAATGAATATCTTAGGACCCTCACAACTCTACTCCTGCCTTATTGCACTTTATCTGTTTTTGTATGAGCACATGCAGCAGACCCACTTTACTAACACAAAGAGTAATTTTAACTGAACATATGGGAATGAACAGGTTCTTTTCATTTAAGACAAACCAGAAGCTTAGAGTTGACACGAAATTGGGTGAAATTCCAATACTTTGGAAGACAAAAACAAAATTCAAAAATATCTTGACAGGATTGAACACTATGATGAAAACAATAGAATTAAATTTAACAGGGATAACTTCAAAGTTCTACACCTTGGAAAAAGAAACCAAATGCACAGCTATAAGATGGGGATACTCAGCTCAGCAATGCAATATACAAAAGGGATCTTGAAATTGTTGTAGATCAAAAGGTAAATATGAGTCAACCATGTGCTATGGCTGCAAAAAAAGAGGCAAATGCTATTTTAGGCTGCATTAACAGAAGAATAGTCTCCAAATCACATGAAGTATTAGTTCCTCTCCATTTGGCACTGGTCAGGTCTTGTCTGTGTCCACTTCTGCACACACTTTAAAGATGCAAACTGGAACGGGTTCAGAGGAGGGCAACAAAGACGATCAGGTGACTGGAAACCAAGCCAATAGACTTAAACAGAGGGGAGANTCCCAAAGCTTGGGAGGGTTCACGGGGGGGGGGGTGGGTGGGTGGAAGATTTGTTCTCAAGCATTCCTGAGTGCAGGACACATAATAATGGGCTCAAGTTACAGAAAGCTAGATTTCAATTGAGTATCAGAAAAAACTTCCTAATTGTCAAAGCAGTATAACAATGGAACCTATTATCTCTGGAGATGGTGAGTGTCTCCAAACTGTAGGCCTTCAAAAGGAAGTTAGACAGCTATCTGTCAGATATACTTTGACTTGAATCCCTACACTGAGCTCAGGATTGCCTTATAGGCCCCTTCCAACTCCATTATTCTAGGATTCAAAGATTTGAAAGAAGCAAGTGTGGTTTTCTTTTTGCATTTTTTCGTGAATAGGACACCCTGAAATGGAATAAAACAGCACTTTGGATAATAGTCTAATTGCTGAGGAAGGAATCTAGCAGCATATTCTAGGACAGAATGAACAGCTATTTTACATAAAATCCGGGAGATTAAAAATAATTATTATGTTGTCTTTCCTCTAGAACCGCATGCATGAATCTTTGCATCTGTTCAACAGTATCTGCAATCATAAATTTTTTGCTGCCACCTCCATTATTTTATTCTTGAACAAGAAGGACCTCTTTGAGGAAAAAATAAAGAAAGTACATCTCAGCATTTGTTTCCCAGATTATGATGGTGAGTTAGTAAAAAAAAAAGTTTGGAAATCAAAGAAATTAAATCTAAGAAGCTGTTTCACACATGACACTTTTCCTAAATGGAATGCACAATGGTATAGAATGCATTTTTCACCGAACACTGCAAAACATGGAAATAATCTGTTCTCAGTCCTTTCCAACCCAGTATCCTCTCTGTTGCAGAAATAGTGTCATTTATGAAAAAAACTGATTTTCTGAGCTACAGGTTAAACGATTTGAAACAAACATAGACAACCCATTTAAGAGACACGGTCCTTTAAATGAATAACTTCTTGCTGCATCAAAGTCACCACAGGTGGAAAAAAGGGTTTCTTGTATATCTCAAGATCTTAAAGAAGCCTCATTATCAAACTGAGCACATGTTCCAAAAGTTTTTCAGTTTATTATTATATATACATACACACTTAAATTTGTATCATGTGTATTATGAATGGTACTTTTAACCCTAATTTCTGTATGAAGAGAACTGGAGGAGCACATGAGATTATCAAATGCTGAACCAAAGAGACCAGTAATAATCACTGTTGCTTTAAAAACTACGCTTACATATTGAATTTATAGAAATATTCTTACCAAGCTGTAAAATGGATAAAAATGCATTGCCTTGGATTATGAAACTGAAAGAGCAAAGCTGACCACAAGATGGTGGGGAAAGGGCTGTTGCCCTTCTTATTGTTCTCATGGAAAAGTGGCCTCATTTTGTCCTTCTGAGAAGGTGGCAATCAGCACAAAAATAACTTCTCCTTCCCTTCAACTCTCTCCCCTCCCTTCTCTTAGAAGGGTAGAACCGCCCTTCCTTACTGCAAGATCCAAGCCATGTGTCTTAAAATAAGCCTCATATCTTTGGCAACAATCCAAACTTCTCCCTTCATTTCCCTTTTGCAAACAGGTCCCAATACTTTTGAAGATGCAGGCAACTACATCAAGAACCAGTTTCTTGATCTGAACATGAGAAAAGATGTGAAAGAAATCTACAGTCATATGACTTGTGCCACAGACACCCAGAACGTCAAATTCGTATTTGATGCAGTGACAGATGTCATCATCAAGGAGAACCTCAAGGACTGTGGTCTTTTCTAAGACTTCACTTTTTAAAAAGGTAATTTCAATTCTAAAAAAACATATTTAATCTTATCATCTGGATGAATGAGTGTATGAGTGTATTTTAGCACTTTCTTACTAATCCTGACATTTGTAAAAGAGTTTAGTCTCAGTTTAGTCCAAGACCAAACCTACTGATTCTACAAAATCTCAAAACTGCTACTTAATTTAGCAGCGTTCTTAGCCTCCCTCATAGAGCACAAAGTTTTGAGATTCTTTCAGAAGTAACAAATTGTTTCTAGAAAAAAATTAGCAAAACTTTCTGACTCGGACCTCTGAGCCAAGTTTATTTAATTCCTATATAGATGAAGCAGAACCTCCAATTTTTCATTAACTATATAAAAGTATTTATTATACAGAAAATAAAGGCACTATCCAGAAGGACTCAGCTACATCTCAACTAACTAGCAGGAACCCTAACATTCAAATGGATGTTTATGTAGAAACAATCTGTACAAGAGTTTTGACTTGTCAGATATTCTACCTGACACTGATCAAATTTATATGTCACAACAAACTAGAATCCTGCTGAATGCTGGTTTGTTCATGGCAAGCCAGCATGCTACCTCTTCAAGCTAGACTGCTCTTGCTTGCAATGAAAGTGTCTAAGTATATTTAATCCATGATAACATCTGGGCTTGACAGAAACCAGTGGCCTAGGGTCCATTAGCCACCTCACAGAAAAGGGGTAATTGGGCAATAGATGTTCACAAACACTGGCTTACCCATCATGTCTCAAACATTCCCATGGAGCCCTGTTTTATGATATCCAGATGCACTCACTAGGTCAATTCCAAGATTTGCCTTCTGTGGAAGATGCTTCTGGCCAATTTCCAGGGACCATATTCCTGGTAACTCATTGCATTCAGCAAGGTCCTTTGTACCCTTTTTAAGGTTCTGGAGGGTTTGCCATGGGGAGATTGCAGTAAAATAATCTGTGCCAGGAAATCCAGTTGCACAAACCTAAATTTACAGCCAGCTCATAATTTCAGCCATGGGCATTTATTTGTGCAATAGTATTCTTTTTTTCACTAGCTGGCTAGCTCAATGAGTTAGGTATCTGTCTGCTGAGCCAGAAGTTGGGAGTTTGATTCCTCACTGGGAAAAGAGCCAGTCTGTGTGGTCTTGGGTAGGCTGCACTGTCCCAGGGCGCCCCCAAGAAGAAGGGAATGGTACACCACTTCTGAGTATTATGTACCTGGAAACCCCTGAAAACGATCACCATAAGCCAGAATTGACTTGAAGGCAAATTATTATTATTTCACAAAGGATTAGCAAAATCCTTGAAGTCTTCTTTGAGAGTTTACTTCCTAGACAAGTTCAAATATGTAAACCTAATAAAAATTACACACAGGCAACTGGTCTCTCCATTGTCACAAACCAATCTCACTTTGGAAGATGGAAAAACTGCTATAAATGTCAGTTCTTTATTGCTTGTTGCTCTCAAAACTCTAATATAGTCAAAAGTCAATATCAAGGCTACTAGTTTACAATGGGCTTGGAGGTTTTTACACAGTACCAACGTTTAGACAATGGTGTAGCTCTTTTATCTACTTGCAAGATGAAATTTGTTAGTATGTTTAACATTCTTTGGAAATACCCATGTTTTGTTCTACTGTATAATCCAATACTGTTTTAATAAAAAATGATTTCATTTCTCAATATATTCTCTAACCTTCTTCATCCATTAGGGAAAAGGACTTCCAGGTAGCTTCACTATTCTGCTGAGCAGAGTCAGTGGAGTAAAGAAAAGTTACTCAAGAGTCCACACTTTTCTTTGTCTTTATGATACAAACTGTATACCTTCAAAGGCATACCGTCAGAAAGGAATGAAGAAAGAAAAGCTAAAAGCATCCGAGTGATTTTCTTTCCTAATCTGCCTGCCTTCTGACATACTGTGAAAGCCCTGAAACTACAACATGAACAAAAGCCATCACAATCATCATGAAACAATGAATCATGTGACTAACACTGGACTTTCACATAACTAAGATCTTAAAAGTATCACTCTTCTGTTGGAAAAACAGCGTGGTTTGGGATTTCTGCTAAAGCTGTTCCTTCATCTATAAATGATCTGAAATGGGATTGTGCTGACCTTGAAAATTATAATGGCCAGAATCCTGTTGGTTTCATGTTGCTTAAGCAGACAAGTATGAGCATTGCACTCTTACCTTCCTCTGACCAGAGAAGCAGTGGCACAATCGATTGTGCGCTTGACCATGCAATGAACAAGTAGTGAGGGAAAAACTGAGGTGTGATTGTCCTTATATGCATGCTTTTTCCCAATAGGATTTTGGCCAACAGGTTAAATATTCAGATCTTAAAATTAATATATATGTCATCAAACAACCCATTTGTTAATAACCCCAGAAATTTTTGTTGCATTTATCAAACTTCCAGGTAAATACATTATTTTTATTCACAGTTTTTTGAAGCTGGTAAAATTTGTCCCCACAGCCTTAATTAGTCAACTTATTTTATTTTTATTATCCACTCTATCCACAGTAAATGCCCTGGTGAACCCAGACTGGTTCTCTCTCTCCTCACACAAATGAACCCTACCCATGACAAAAGTACTAATCCCAGCCCAATGAATTACCTCTTGCTGTGGAGACTATTGCTCTAGCTGCATCACTGGCTCTTGTTAAAAGATCAGTGACATACAAAAGAAAGCCATGGACATCATAGGGTTAGAAAGCCTCCTCCCACACACAGGAAATAGAGAGAAAAAAAATATGGAAATGGTTATGTCAGGGTTCTCACTTTCGTATTTAGAGTTACATTGTTCTTGACAATTTGTAAATAATACAGTGACATACAAAAGAAAGCCATGGACATCATAGGGTTAGAGAGCCTCCTCACACATAGGAAATAGAGAGAAAAAAATATGAAGTGGAAATGGTTATGTCAGGGTTCTCACTTTCGTATTTAGAGTTACATTGTTCTTGACAATTTGTAAATAATTCTCATGTTATTAGACAAGATTCTCTTTGTATTAATATTTACTGCAAACAGCTGCTTAAACAGCTTCAACTAAATGTAGGAAATCCAAAAATAAAGAAACATGCATTAAAACCATAAAGTGTTATAAATTTTGAAAAGTTAACAGTTCTTTAAAAAATGTCTTTCCAGTGTTTTTTTTGTTTTTCATTCATTGCATGTACACCTATTAGTCTACAAGCCAATATGACTCAGTGGCTAATGCTGTATCTGGAAGACCTGACTTTAAATTTCAGCTGAGTCTAAGTTTACATATGTACTCAGTGACTGTACCATTAAGGAACAACATGCAAAAAGCAGAACTGAATAAGGTCACACAGCATTTTATTGTTTTTCAGTTGAAGCCATTTGGCCTGCAATTTTCTGTTGATGAGATTTTGTATGCTACACATGATTTCATGAAATCAGCCCTTGCTGATTTCATGAAATTCAGTGACACATTATTTTAAAGGGTTGACATGAGGCAACCATCCATTTAACATGAGCAGTGACACATTATTTTAAAGGGTTGACATTTAACATGAATGTCTTACCATTGTGTAAACAAAGAGAAACCCATTAAGTCAGGTCATCTGTAATATCCTCCTGTACAAAGAGAATTTTTAAAACCACTCTTCTGCTGTAATCATAATTATCACAGTTGGGAACAAGGTACAGGATTTCCATTCCTGATACAACATGTGGTAAGTACTGACAAGCACTTTGCTACATTCTCAGCTTTACTTGTAAAAGCCAAAGATGGGAATATGTAGCCCTCTGCATATTTGTTGGATTCCAACTCTCATCATCCATCACCACAGGATATTCTGGCTAGGCTAATGGGATCTGAAGTCTAAGAAAACCTGGAGTGTCCCATGTTCCCTACTCTTGCATAAGCTGTGTGAGCCAATACAACAAAAACATGACATCGTAATTCTTCAAAAACCAGATATTTTATATGAAGGTTTAGGAATATCAAAAAGCTACTTGATCTAACTAAAATCTTTATTTAAAGAAACTGGAAATGCAAACAAAGGAAACTGACAAAAGATTTCTAGAACATTTCTAGAAATGGCTCCAATAAAATTAGGAACATTAAGATTTTTAACTCACCATTTTAATATTGCCAATAACTACACCAGGTTGAAACTGTACATGACAAATTGGGAAGGAGTCTCAATGTAATGATTTCAGCAAAGAAATGTACTGCCTCTGCTTAATAACATCACTACAGTAAAAACAATGGCAAACAAGAACTTGGCACCACATTTACAAAGTAAAGGCATGCTGTTCATACATTTTTGAAATCTCTGAAGATAGGAGGCCCTGGTAAATGAAGAACAAATTGCACCGTCTACAAAACGTCCCACTGCTTTAAGACCAGAACACACAGAGAAACAATTAAGTGGTTGATTAATTAGCTCTGCAGCAACACTTACTCTCCTTTCCAGTTTGAAATTTTACAACTCACCTTTCTCACTGGAAGCGCCACCCTTGGCATTTCATATAACAAGCAGATTTACACCTGCTACAGCAGCAGCACACTCAGAGATTTGGTAATCAGCATAAGACCACACTAACCCTCCCCAACCCATAAGCAAGAAAAAAAATTATAACCCTGCTACAGAAAGTCTATCTTTTGGGGACAGGGAAAGCCTTACAGTGTTCATAGCATAACAGTAAGAAAGTATACATTAGACGAAGCCATAGCTTTAGCTGTAAGAATTCTAAGGCCCTTTTAGTTGCAGTAATATCAAGTTCTGACCACACCAAGTTTTAAAAACAAAAGGTTCCTGCTAAGAGGAATACTTTCTGCATGATCTGGTCACATGTGCATAGTTAAGTGTTTTTGTTTGTTTTCAAAACAAAACTGTTTGTAAATACAGAAATAAAATTTGGTCAAGATGCAGTTTTGATGGAAAACTTTTAAAAACTTAACAGTAGTGACTTATTGAAGAAGGAAAGCTACATATTGAAGTTCTGGGATTGCAACGTTTTAACAGCTGTACACATCTGAAACTATGCGATCCAAGGTATGCCTGGATGATCAAAAAAATCACACTTAACATTAGTTCCATTTTGGAGCCCAATCTCAGTATCCCATATCAATAAAAGGTCCCTAGTACAGAAGATTGTGCTAAAGAATGCAAGGATTTTGCATGCTGTTTTCATTCCCCAGTCCTGTTCATGCTTGCAGCTGTCCCACGAGGCAGCAAATAAACAGTTCAGTTCTTAAAACACCAAATCCTGAAATATGGAAGAAAGAAAAAAACTGAAGTTCATGGGAAACCCAGGAAAATGTTACTGCAATGCTAAAAGGTCAAAATAAATTGAAAAGTTCTTAATGTACCTTTTTCACCATCCTCCTCCTTTTAGTAGAGTCCACATTCCTTCAGGTTGTTTTTAATTATAACATCTGTAACAGCATCAAAAACAAACTGCACATTTTTGGTGTCAGTGGCACAAGTGAAATGGGTATAAATTTCCTTGGTGTCTTTTCTTCGGTTGAGATCTTCAAACTGGCATTGAATGTATGCAGCTGCTTCCTCATATGTATTAGACCCTAGGGAAAAAACAGACAGATCAAAAAGAGAAGTGCCCCAATGGATCAAATCAAAGATCCATCTAGTCCAGCATCCACTTTCCCATAGTGGACAGCTAAATGTCTCTGAGAAGCTCACAAGTAAATTAAGCAGCCAAAAATTCTCTCTTGTTCATATTTTCCTGTAATTGCTACTCAATGACATACTTCCCCTTTGTGTATGAGTGTGTGTATGCACACACACACACGTATAGCAGCATACAGCCTAACAGACATGGAATGCTTATGAGCAGAAATTTGATGCTGATCAACATTGCTTTTAAACAACTTTCAATTAACCTCACAACTTTCCTGAAAAAAGAAATACTCATGTTGGTGCTCATACTATAAGATATTACTGGCAATTAGATTAACATTCCAATGGCTTAGGCTAAAGAAATGCATGAAATTTTAAGGTACAGTTTCAAGATGCAAGATGTAGCAGCTCCATCTCCAGCATTAAAAATACTTATTGCCAGCTAGCAACTGAGTGGGTCATCATTTGAGAATATGATCAATGATGCTCTGACCTCACTGAAGGAAGAGAATGGGAGACATTTCAACCATAAAATAACTAACTTGTTTTGAAAAAACAAGGGGAAGTAAGATCACAGTATGTGAAGTAGACGACTTCCATGAAGAGAAAGACTAAAGAAAGAAAACAAAGGCTGCTAGAAGATAAAGAAAGAAAGAAAGAAAGAAAGAAAGAAAGAAAGAAAAAAAGGCTGCTAGAAGACTCTGGGAACCCAACTGTGTTTTTTTCTACTTGTTTTCTACATGCAAAAGTACCGAACAATGTATAGAAAACCTTCATTTTTAAATGATGATTTACAAAAGTTTTCTATACGACATGGGTTAGGCACTGCTTTTTAAAGAAAACATTCTAGTGGATATCTAAAACAACAAGATTGATGGACTAAGGCCACATTGTTTATTGCAAAATTTCAGTTCTGATACAGACTCACAACTTTAGATGTTTACATTGTCTTATAATTGCAGTTACATATAAGAAGGATTTTCTGTGAAACAGCCCTGAAGGGATTTTGCTAGCAATACTTACTGCCATGAATCCACAAATTAATTTCGCAAGCAGCTTGATTTTCTTTTTTAAACATGGCAATAAGGCAGCTAGTATCCTGTTGGAGGGAGGACACTGCAGAACAGTCAGTCCCATATGGGATTTTTCCCTGGCCACCGCTTGCACAAGAGGCAATCCAGCAACTTCTTGTGTGAGCAGAAAGGCCAGTTTAAAGCAACAGCACAATCTCCAGACTGCATAACCTCAAGTTGGAGATCAACAGGGCTCAGGATGAGCATTCTTTCTGCAACGCTGTTATACTCTGCATTTGGAATAGAATAGTGGCTATTATGTTGCTGTGCTTACAGCCTAATCCACCTGCAGTGACAGGATGCTTCAACCAAAGGTTTGGATATATAGTGGCAACTTAGAACAGATATAATAATTTCAATTAGATTTAATAATGGAGTCTAGGTAAAATGGTGCTGGATGAGATTCTCGAGAGTCCCCAGGACTGCAAGGAGAACAAACCTATCCATTTTGAAGGAAATCAACTCTGAGTGCTCACTGGAAGGACAGATCCTGAAGCTGAGGCTCCAATACTCTGGCCATCTCATGAGAAGAGAAGACTCCCTGGAAAAGACCTTGATGTTGGGAAAGTGTAAGGGCAAGAGGAGAAGGGAACGACAGAGGACAAGCAATAACTTTTTCAAACCTAATGGTCAGAATGTTTCATCATTGCACAGCCTGTTCCTAGTCATCTTTATTCAAACAGGCCTGCTGAATCAATAGGACCTACTTCCATCCAGCTGTGGACAAAACTGCAGCCTTCAATGTATGGATCTACAAGGTGTCCTTGTAGAGAGCGAGATTCTTGTTCCGTCCAATATTTTAAAAGCTGTATATGACGGGCTAAGAAAGGAGGCTATGTACATACATAGAAACCTTTTTTTAAAAAAACTTGAAAAGCCACTGATTATTGGCTGTTTAGATCCTATTATTATTCCCATCACTTCAAGCATACCTGGGTATTCTGGGTAACAAATTGTTAGTGGACTCCTCCTTATCTTTTCCTCAAACAGATCTTTTTTGTTCAGGAAAAGAATGATTGATGTATCTGTGAACCACTTATTGTTACAAATGCTGTCAAAGAGTTTCATACTCTCATGCATACGATTCTGGGGAGGAAAAGGACATCAAAATGAGAAGGCAAAAGAAAGAAACTTTATGTTATTGCAACAAAATACTGGTGCAAAGAGTATGAATTATCGAAGATAATGCTCACATAAGAAAGTAATTCAGGCGAGTAGCAGAATTGGAAAAAATGAGTCATGAGAAGCCTCTAAATTCCTAATCGTTTCAGTTTTTGCAGTTATGTCATTTCCCACAAAACGTGACTCAGATGCCTTATTTTCTTTACTGTTAATTAGGTTCTATCTGATTTTCAGATTCAGTTTTGGAGAGGGAAAACATTATTCTCCTGTCTCTTTAAAACTTTGTTACAATTACTAATTTACAAACAAAAAAACACAAGTCATTTCAATTAAGCTTTCTCAAACAGGCCATACAAAGACTGAAGTTAAGTTCTACCATAGTTCATATTAAGCACAATGCAGGCAATATTTAACTCCATGGCAACATACCATTTCTTCATCTTCAGCAAGAACAAGGTCATAATCACTAAGAGCTACGCAGAATATAATTGCCGTTACTCCTTCAAAGCAATGGATCCATTTCTTACGTTCTGAGCGCTGACCACCAACATCAAACATCCTGGTAGAAAGATAAACAACCTTATAATTATGCTACTGCAAAATGAAATGACATTTTGCCCGTTCAGTGTCATCAAATGTACAGAATAAAAATATCAACTAGTTTTTATCTTTAGCAAAATGTCTAATATTCAAATCTAAGAACACAATTACAACATTAATCAAACACAAAACTATAACTTCCTAATCTTTCCTACCACAAATAAGCACTAGGACATAACCATAACATAACCAACTATTCTCCTAGAACTGCCTTACTAGAATGAATACAGAGCTCTATACATCACCTTTCTCTTCCACTCACTAATACAATAACTGGGCAACTAATCTCTAAAATAGCAAAACTCTTTTCTACAACACAGGACAACACAGAGGCCGAAATCCTGTTCACGTAACTTACTTACTAACACACACACACAAACACACACACAGAGGAGGAATAATATCACATAAGGACATCTTTTACAATATCAGCCATCAACGAAGGAGGATACCTTGCTCAGCACAGAGGTGGAAGGCTGTGCTTGCACCCTACCTACCATTTGCTGTTTCTTGAGAACAACTTTGTGGTTTTTTGGTTTTTCATTTGTTAAAAAATAGCATTTTAAAAAATGCAAATATGATAACAGAAGGCAGGTAATGTATTTTACAATGTGGTTTCGTGTGGACAAGTTAACCTGCCCTCACACATTAGACTACAGTGTACTACAGAGCTGTCTAGGAGATAGCACATTACCCTATTTTATGCTGTAAAAGAAATATCTTCAAAGGGCACTCAGATGAATGGCACAAGAGATGCCACTGTGTTAATAATGGTTAACTCTGGGCTAACTTAAACTGGGCAGCTATTGAAACAAGGAATGAGCTATAGAAGCGAAAACAATACTTCAGGAGTTCTATGAAGACAACCCACCTGGTTTCATGTAGGATTCCTAACACTACAGAGCAAAAGCTGTGCACCAGCTTTCTTCACACTCAGATGAATGGCACAAGAGATGCCACTGTGTTAATAATGGTTAACTCTGGGCTAACTTAAACTGGGCAGCTATTGAAACAAGGAATGAGCTATAGAAGCGAAAACAATACTTCAGGAGTTCTATGAAGACAACCCACCTGGTTTCATGTAGGATTCCTAACACTACAGAGCAAAAGCTGTGCACCAGCTTTCTTGAACAGTGGTGCCTCACTTAGCGATTGCCTCATTTAACGATGTATTCGCTTAGCGATGAGGTTTTTGGAGCGATTTTGCGCTCCGTTTAACTATGTTTCCTATGGGAAAAATTTGCATAACAATGTTCAGGACCTTGCCTCGCTTAGCAATGACAGTTTTAGGTCCCCTGTTTCGCTTAGCGATGTTCCGTTTTCGCTATTTTTAAAGTGTCTTAAAAGGTTCAAAAACGGTTTAAAATATTTGGGATCATTAGTGCACCTTCTAAAACGTGTGCAAACTTAATTTGGCTTTGTTCTGACTCTTCGTTAATTTTTGGTGAATTTCCCCCCCCATTGGAAAGCATTGAACCCGATTTTGACAGCTGTCAAAATCGGGTTCAATGCATTTCAATGGGGGGGAAATTAGCCAAAAATTAACTAAGAGTCAGAACAAAGCCAAATTAAGTTTGCACACATTTTATAAGGTGCACTAAAGATCCCAAACATTTAAAACCGTTTTTGAACCTTTTAAGACACACTTAAAATTGCAAAAACGGACATCGCAAAACCATTGGAATGCATTGAATAGGCTTCAATGCATTCCAATGGGGGATACATTGTTTCACTTAGCGATGTTTCCTATGGCCATTTTCGCTTAAGGACGGTAATCCGTTCCCATTGGAACGGATTAACCGGTTTTCAATGCATCTCTATGGGAAAACATGTTTCGCTTAACGATGTTTTCCCATAGCAATGGTTTTTTAACCAATTAACATCGTTAAGCGAGGCACCACTGTACTCCAAAGTGCTATAATGTTAAGTAATCTTGTGCAAAGAAGCCCCAATTAAGTGAAACCCCACCCTCCACCATTGTGCAGCAACCAGATGACATGACTGTATTTGAATAAATGTAAATTGCTGTACATGAAAAAAAAACATCCCCTGAAAATAAGCCCTAATGCATTTTTGGTGCAAAAAATAATATAAGACCCTGTCTTATTTTCGGGGAAACACGGTATTAAAAATGTTCCCCATCCATGGTTAAGGACAATGTATATAATTGGAATATGGGCTGCCTAATCCCAACATTTGATTTACCAGATCAAGAATGCAGAGAAATAGTCTTGATCAAAGATAGGAAATGTAACTTTTTATGCTACAGATCCCAAAATCTCATAGTGATCATGCTGGCTATGGAATTCTGTCAGTTCTATTTCTAAAAAGTTTCACTTCCCCTTTCTTGAATTGATACACAAATTATTCTGCATCCATACAGTACTTTCAACACTAACATTTCAAAGATCATGCCTCATTTATCCTCAATATATGACAGAATCATTCTCATGCTAAAAGGAAACAGTGGTTCAAGTCAGGGTTACTCTTTCAAAGTCATTCTGGATAGTACTGAAAGACCAAATTTAACAGTGTTTCAGATGCTGTTGCACTTTTACGTAATAGTTCATAATGTATGTGTAAACGTCACCCCAATCAACTGGAAAACAAATGCAATTATAAGTCATAAGCAAGTAAGCAGCAACAACAGAAATTCAAGCAAAAACAGCAACTCCTTTATGAAAACACTGTAAAAAATCATTTTTTCTATGGACGTGGGGTTACAAAAAAGTGCTATAAGTACCTACTCAAGAGTGGAGCATATGATTGAAACAAGCGTTTATTTAACAGCATGATGGCAGTCAGGGAAGCATTAGATTTCAACACATCCTTATGGCAGGCATGAAGGATAAGAGACAAAAGAGGAATTCATACTTAAAGGGATACTGATTTGGTCAGACCAATTACATTGGGCTGGTCACACATTGGGTTCCTTACATTTTCCTACTTCATACTTCACTTTCAAACATGCCTAAGCACAAGGGCATCTTTTAAGAAGAGGGATGTGAGGTGCCAGATTCATTCATTTTGCATACTGCCATGTTTTATAAAGACTTAGAACTTAACAGAAGGTACGTAAGCAGCAGTGCCAAGAGGCTTTAAAAGCTATGCTTACTGAAAATGTGGAATTCTTCAAGAGAGAAGGAGAAAAGCTACACAAAGAATATGTGTTACCTGACGCCTGACATAAATTATTTTCGGAGTATTCCAATGGAAAATACACAGCCTCTACCCTCCATCACACAATTTCTGACACCTTTGCATGCTCCCTGCCAAAGTTCTGTGCTACTAACTGGTTAGTTCTCTCTCAGTAGTTTTGCTCAAAAAGCCATGCACAACTTGGAGAGCCATGTTAATTTCAGCTCCAGTTATAACACAGAAAAATAAATGCATGGAAAAAGGAAAGATATCTACAGTAGACCTTTATCTTTTAAGATTCCATAAAACAATTTAAAGCAGTAGCCAGTATCCTTTTAGTATATATGCTCATGTAAAGCAAGGATTTGGTACCTGTGTCTGTGATCCCAACATAAAAGCAGCTGAAAAGAACAAAACAATGAAAATAAAGAAGTGAACGGATATCAAGAATCCCCAGCAAGAACAGAATTTAATGACGGAGATACACTGCATTATGTGAAGGGACAGTCAAACTAAGCCTGCATCACATGTACAGAAGAAAAGGCAGAACTTTCTATGCTATATCCAAAAGAAATTCTGATGTGATCATTTACACAACAGGCATGTCTCAATCTATAGCTTTACTCACTTGAAATACAAGTCCTTGAAAGTGAAGTGTGTTTCTACAATGCCTGTTGTTTTCACTCTGGTCCGTAGAACATCTTGCTGAGTTGGAATGTAGTTCTGCTGAGATATTCTGTCCAGGTCATTTAGATAGCTAAAGTGGAATGAGTAGGGAGGAAAAAGAAAAAAATGCATTCAGAATCTTCTCTTATACACAGCATCATGCCTGTAATATTAGTGTTGGGTATCTGAAACTGAGCAGCAGCTACACTACCTGCCATCTGTTATACTGATTCCATGTCAACCCTATAAAAACTGTGCTGGTGAATTCGTTTTACATTTTATGACAGATTCTGTTCAGAGCTGTCTTAACTGTATACACTGTAAAAAGGAAAAACAATGTTTCCCCACATAATTAGCAACACTCCTACTAAAATTCCCTACCTTTAGTGCTACAAGTAAATGGAACAGCTGTTAGAGTTGTCAGTAAATACAACAATTTCTGTAAGAGTAAATGTAGGGATAGGTGATTGGTTGCTCTTCCAATGCTGTCTGGACTCTGGCTCCAAGAGCCCTAGTTAAGAGCCACAATTTTACCATTCCTGATTTAGAATGTGAAATCCTCTGGGCACAGAGATGTCCTGTTGATTATGTCACTCTACATAAAGTACCATCTACACCAGTGATTTCCAGTCTTGGGTAACCCACATGTTCTTGAACTGCATTTCCCAAAAATTCTGGCCAGCTCCGCTGGTGGTGAAGATTTCTGGGAAAAGCAGTCCAAGAACACCCGGGTTACCCAAAATTGGGAATCACTGATCTATACCAATGGTTCTATATATAAGAACAAGAATAATCTATTCTAAAACATACATATAAGAGATGCAATGCAGAAAGAATGGACAGTTACCTCTATATTGATGGGCAAAGGAAGGAAAGACAAGACAGGCATACTGAAGAGCATGTGACAGAGATTGGCAGGTTTACAAGCACCATCCAGAGCCTGAGGTATGCACCACTGCCTGAGCTGGTGAGATGAAAGAAACTTCCTGATGATCCCTTGGAAGGAGTTTGTTGTAATGCAGCAGTTAAGAATAAGAGCGATGAGTTAAAATCTCAGCTCAGCTACAACTGACTAGATAGAATAAAGCAAACCACTACTCCTTAACTTCAGACATGGCCCACTCAATAAGAGGCCCACACTGAAGGGCTGTTGTAAGGAATAATGAGAATATAAATATATAGCAAGCACTATAGGAGCATTGAGTATTAATATTAGGATTTCCATTCACCTGTGTGTCATACAGCATTCCCAAACAGATGCTCTCCAGATGCTTTCAGCAAGTTTTCTGACCACCAGCCAAGATGGTTAAGGCTGACAGGATTTGAAATTGAAAGCATCAGAAGGCACCAGATTGATGAAGGCTAGTGCAGGGAAACCAGGATTTCAGTCTCTGTTTATTAGTCTAAAAAAGCAATCGACTTTCAAGCCCCAGTGATGAGAAAGACAGTGGGTCAAATGCAAAGGCCCACTTCTTCACTGATTCATCAACTCATTGTACCTTCCATGTCAGGGCTCCTTGGCACTTTCTGAAATAAGCTTGTGTACAGCATGCTGTAACACTTCAGGTCATATAATAAAGTCACAACTCATCATGGCAAACTTGATCCTAAGCATGTTCTTTTAGCCCCACAGTGTTAACATTACTGCTTTAATACTGGGAGCAGTATAGATGTGACAAAGACAGCACTATGCAGCTTTACAGAATCTTTGTGAAGTAGAGTCTGACGAAAAATAGTGATGTGTTACACTACCACAAGGTTTGTTACCAAACCAAGCATCCCACATCCAAATCCAACATCACTATGCAAATACTGCGATTCCAGCCTATGCCTTTTAGTTCAGAGGGGTTTAATCTACTGCACCTTTTTAAAGAACTGTATTGTTGACCAAAATTATAAGCACGGGGCTGCCATCATTTGAATCCCAAGCAACAAGACAACAGTACAGTACTGTATAACCATTGCCTGAGATTCAGTCTCTTTGCTAAGACATATTGCTGATTAAGGATCTGATGCCAACTGCAGTAACTCCATTTGATAAGAGCAGAATTTACTACCCCTCTCCTCATAATAAAAATACTTTAAAAATCATGGAAAACAAACAAAGATTCTGTGATCCTTCTGTCTCTTATAAACTATTGCTATACTAAACAATGTTAGAATTCTACAGCAGCTCCTACTGTCATCAACATTTATTCAATATTTTGCCCTTCCACTCAAACAAATTGAATTAGTTAATAGGAGTAATATCCCAGAAACTAAAATCAGAATGGAAGTCAACTTAATATTTTCAAGCAACAAACTCTGAAGTATGCTGGCAAAGGAACTGTTTTTCAGGACTTCAATTAGTTCATGTTTTAACACTTTACTCTTGACAAGAAGAACAGGCAAATTATGCTTGTGTGGGCTACTAATTTGCATATAGTAAGTTCATGTTTCAAGAGCAAGGCTTAAGAAAATGAACTAGTTCGATTTTGTGTTATTAGGTTCTGCAATAGCTAACTTCTCAAGACTTCGTTGTTGTTATGCACCATCAAGTAACATTCAGCTTACAATGATTCTAATTGGGTTTCCAAGGTATGTGAGACATTTAATGTGTGTTTTCCATTGCCACCCCATCAGTGAGCTTCTACAGCCAAAGAGGGATTTGAACCCATGTCCTCCAAGTCCTAATCTATCAATCTACCCTCACTCTAGTGCAGTCACTAATTCTCAACCAAATCTCTACTGCTCATATACTATGAAGCTTTTATACATTAATAGGACTCCAACAATAACAAGAAACTATCTGTTTTAAAGTAGGAAATCTATGAATACATAAAATGCACACTGGGGCAAAAAAAAAATCAAAACTGTAGTTATCAGCTAATGGGTTCTGAGCTGTCCATGACAGATCAGGAAACAGATCTTGGTGTGCTGGTGGACAGCTCAATAAAAGTGTCGACCCAGTTGCGACGGCAGTGAAAAAAGCCAATTCCGTGCTAGATATCATTAAAAAGGGGATCGAAAATAAAACATTCAACATTATGATGCCATTGTAAAAATGATGGCAAGGCCGCACCTTAAAAAAGACATAGTGGAACTGGAAAAGGTGCAGAAGAGAGTGACTAAAATAATGACTGGGCGGGGGCACCTCCTTTATGAGGAAAGGCTATACCATTTGAGGCTCTTTAATCTAGAGAAAATATGCCTGAAGGGGAACATGACTGAGATGTATAAAATTATGCAGGGGGTGGATAAAGTGGATAGAGGGAAGCTCTTTTCCCTCTCACGCAATACCAAAACCAGGGGACATCCACTCCAATTGAGTGTTGGGAGGGTGAGAACAGACAAAAGAAAGTATTTCTTGACCCAGCATGTTGTTAAGTCTGTGGAACTCCTTGCAACAGGATGTGGTGATGGCATCTGGCCTAGATGCCTTTAAAAGGGGATTGTACAGATATCTGGAAGAAAAGTCTATCATAGGTTACAAGGTTATAATCTCCAGGCTTAAAAGGAAGGTACCTCAAAATGCAGGGGAGTGGTATTAGGAGACAGGTATCTAGTTATCTCATGTGCTCCCAGAGGCATCTTGTGGGGCCACTGTGAGATATTGGACACTGGATTAGAAGGGTCATTGGCCTGACTGAGCAGGGCTCTCCTTATGTTCTTAAAAACCTTAATAAAATCTTGTTTTAACTACTGAAAAATACAAAAAACCCACCAAAAAAACCACCATTCTTCAAAAGAATGTGCATGCCTTTCCAGCCCACTTTCTAAAAATAAAATATTACACTATTTCACCATAGCATTTCTGGTAAGTTACTACACAGAAGCAGTTTGCTATGTGGAAAGAAAATGTTGCACGCTTACGTCAAGACAAAACATTTCTGAAATATTTACCATAACTCTAATTATTCTGCACTGCTGTAAAAAGTTTAAATGACTTAATTTTGTTGTACCTTCAACCATAACGAATACAAACAATCACTAGATAACAGAAAGATGCTGCAAAAACCATTGGTTGGATATGAAGAAAGTATTGATGCTAGACTACTGCTCCTATAATCCCCTGACCACTAACTATTCTAACCATGGTTGATGGGAGATGAAGTCCAGGAACATAAACCTAGTCAAAAGTTTCTATGCCTGCTTTGCTTACAGATCTTATGCCGTTGTGCCGTTCAGCTCTGCTCTCACCTGTCCGTCATAGCTGGGCAGGGGAACCTCAGCCAATGAGAGGATGGAGGGTGGTTCAGAAGTGGGAGGAGGTGGGTTATATAAGGCGTGTGTGATGTGTGCGATCAGATCAGTTTGGAAGATGAGTGATTAGAGAGATTGATAGAGAGTCAGAAAGAGCCTGTCAGTGAGGGAAAAGTCTGTGTGAGCTAGTGTCTGAGAAACAGTGATTGACTAATTGATTTAAACCTGTGATTTACTCCTTTTATTTTGTGTGATCAATAAACACTTTATTTGTTTTGAAAGAAACACTTGTCCTTTTGATTTTAAGGATAGGTTGGTGGCAGCAGTTTTGGTGAGAGGTAGTGAGCACTCTCAGAGGCCTGGATGGGTAGAGGCTTGAGAGTGGCCTGCTATAGCCGTTTTCTAATAAACCCATTAAGCTAAGCAGGAAATTGGGAAACATCTTGTGGCATTTTAAAAACAAACTCATCTGTTAATAATGTATATTTTCATCAACATAAATGTACTTCATCCAATTTATCCTCTGAAAATTATCATGTGGAATCCTCTAAGTCCAGTGAAGAGAAAATGAAGATGGACAATGAAAGAGATAACACTTTTACCACAAGAAAAGTTGAAACATCTGAATCACTTTGTTTTGCAGTATCACTTAGTTTCAAGAAGCTCTCTACAATGCTTTTAAATACTGGCTGCTCAACGTCTATTATAACAAAGAGCAAAAATGAGTTTGGCTGGTTCATTTTAATGAACCAAGCATAATCCATAGAATCTTTGAACATAACAAAGAGCAAAAATGAGTTTGGCTGGGATGAACTTTTCCTTTCACTCATTTTAATGAACTAAGCATAATCCATAGAATCTTTGAAGTTTAGCTTTCATTAACTATCCAGTTTTATGAAGCTTAAAAAACTGCCACTGAAACATATTTACATTCTCACTCAGGGAGTTTTGAGAATGAACTCATTTATCCCACAATAACTTTTGTAAAAAACAAAACAAAACAAAAACAAACAAAGCTCTGAAAAGACGAATATAATGCTTATGTGGTTATAGACATGAGCTCATCTGCAGAACTACTTAGAATTTATTTAATGGTTTCTTACTAGGAAGCAGAATCATTAAGCTGATATTCTCTCGATCTGCTGAAGCATGCTTGAACTCCAGGGTCTCTCCATAACCGCTTAATCACTCCTGATAGTTCTGGAGTCATGACTCCTTCTTCTGCACTTCCAGCTAAGACAAACAACTGACGAGCATCATCCTGCAGAAGATAGTTCAATACTGCCATTACCATATGCAGCAACATAACACACTATTTAACTAACAACTACTTCTCAGCTATAGTTTAAAACAGTATAGTAGGCAACATGGATAAAAATTAATGATTTTTAAAAATCAAACTGATTTAAATAATAACTTAAATTTTCAAAAATCAATTATTTTAATTTATATCATAAAAAACTTAATTTAAAAATTTAAATAATATATGGTATCCAGAGAGTTTATATGCATTGTTTAAATCAATTTGATTTAAATCAAATCCACCCTGACAGTAGATTATCCTTTCCCCAAAATATTCTTAACCAAAACAACAGGTTTTAAAGTGTTGAATCTTTTACCTAATGTCAACTGCAACCAGAATACATGTAACAGAGCTTACTGATCAGAACAATCAATAAAGATTGACTGTGAGGTTTACCAGAGGTTTATCTGGGAGTACAGTAGAAGTTTCTTCACATTACCACTCACCTATAAACTCGCTAAAATAAGAATCTCAAATGCTACAGAAATAATAAAAACTACAGCTAACATCCTGTTGTTTAGCATAGTAAGACACAACTAGAGCAGGCCCACTGAATCAGTGCAGATCTGGTGAGTCAGCTTCTCCCCAAGTTCTGCTGATTCAGTTGCAAATTACTGTAGTACATTAAGTATTTATGCCTAGTGAGTTTCAGCCTAGCCCTCATGAAAATAAAACTGAATATAGGAGATGGTTAAAAAAAAAGTTAAACTGACAATATAATCTTAGAATTGCAAACCTAGGGGCCCTAAGGGTCATCTAATCCAGCCCCTGTCAAGGAGGCACCTCGGGGAATCAAACTCCCAAAGTCTGGTTCTTAGCCAGATACCTAAACTACTCAGCTATCTAGCAGTTCTATTAATAATTAAGTATTTTAATAAACAATAAAGTCAGAAAAAACAGATTTCGGGGAAATCAAATGTTTTGTGCTTAAAAGAAAGCTACAAACACAGATAAAAGAAATGGAGCTCTAATTTTAAAAAGAACATTTTTGTGGTTAGTATAACTTGTCAACCTGAAAGGTTGTGGACAGTTAAAATGTTAGTATCTGAGGAACATGTAACTATCACTTGCCTCACAAAAGGGAAAACTACTGATGCACAGGAAGATTGAGCAGGGTTTCAATAGGGTATCGGCTGTCTGATAACAAAACTGTGCTGAAATATTTAAGTAAGCAAGCAGCACAGCAGCAGAAGTTACGTAAATGACAAATACTGCAGAAATACAATTCAAGCTGTACAAGATTTCACATGAAAAAACCACTGAGTCAGCTTCCATTGTTTCTTTTAAAGAATTTTCACCTAGGGAAACTTACATAACATAATTTAAAAAACAAGCTAAAAACAATGTTAAACAAAACAAATTCACATTTCAGCAAATATTAAGAGTGAGAGTAAAACAGATTTACAATTTTTTAAAAGGCTTTGACTAAAAGCAGTGTGAGCCCAAGCAAACTTCCATGGAGCAGCACTGCCTAAACAGAACACCACAAGTAAAAGAAAAAGTGCATTTTCTAATTAATATCCACATAATCTCTAGAACTGTAAAACCCACAGTTTTGCTTTGGAGGAAGATTTAAATGCATAGGCCGATTCATGTGGGAGTCCTCTACATCTCCTGGTAACATTAACAGCAACAAACCATTCTAAACAAAATGTTCTTAAACACTGCAATCAGACACATACCATTTCTACCTTGCAATTTTATATGTCTTACTGCTAGTTTCATAGTTAAGTACTTCAAAACAATGCTATCCCTAATCCAATAAAAATGAATATACTTACAGCTCTAGCAGCTTCACCAAAGTCTATCTTTAGCCTTCCCATTGCTCTTATTATTGCAATGATAGATTGGATAGTATTGCTGTAGACAACCACTTTATACTGCTTACACTCTTCCTCTGAATAGCCATCTTCATGAATGATTCTGTCAAAAAAGAAATCTTACATAGTTAGGGGTCAATTTCAGAGTATGGAAATCCCAACTTAGCCATGGTATTCAAATTGTGATTAAACCAGCTCTACTAACCAGCCTAATATGCCACACAAATTAGATGTAACACTAGGAGGAGGATGAAAGAGCCATTAATAAGTCCCCTATATGTTTGTAAAGAAGAACAATATAACATTGTGATACTTTTAAACTCCTGAATCTATATAAAACTAATGCATTTCATCTACTAGCCAGAGACTGTGGTCTTGTTGCTGTTGTTCTTGATGCAGTCCTTTTGCTCTCCAAAAAACTTTGCTTCAAAGATTGAAGGGTAGGGAGATGTGGAATGTGGTACAAGAGCTTCAGCAGGAAGTGCAAACCACCCCCCTCCCCAAAAATGTTATGGGACCTGGTAACTTGTACTGGAGCACCTATGGATCCCAGCTGAAGACCACAATTCTCCCAGACTGTGGACACAGCATCCTCAGAGATTCCTATGATGGCTCTTACATTTTTTTCTCCCTCTCCATAACAAGTAATGTTACAGGAAACAGAAGTACATAGAGACTTTCTATTCCTCCAATGTCCTTATTGTACTGCTCATATGATTAGGTTTTTAAAAAATGTAAAAGAATAGGATATTTTGAAGCCACCCTTCTGAAAGTTCTTTAGACAGAGACATGATGACTATGTCCATACTATGGTAAATATGTAAAACACATGCTATTTTACTTACTTCATTTGCTTCACAATGGTGCTTTTACCAGATTCTCCAGCACCTATAGAACAAAAACAGGTGAAGTTCTATCAATTTGGTGTGGCAACTCAAAAAGCAAAATCCAATGAAAAAGATGGTTTTTGTTCTACACCAATCAACTTTCCAGAAGCATCCAAACTTCAATGAACTGAAATTTAAATTCTTCTTAGAAATGGTGGTAAGTAAGCTGTTGACAATTTAAGACCAATTATAAATCCTGACTTCTAAACTACTCCATGGCTGAAATTCTGTTGCTTAGTATAGTAAGTCACACTAGATAGGTCTGCTGAATCTGAGTGAATCTGGGTAGTCAATTGCTTTATAAGTTCAATGTATTCTTGAAGGCTTTCACCGAAGGCTTCACCGCTGGGATACAGCCTGTAAAAGGTCAATGAACTCTACCCAGCCACAAAGACCAGGGATCATTGCACAAAAAAGACCTGCTAACAACACCCATCAATCACAGTAAAAAATAATCTCTCCCCCTTTATCATAACCAAAAACATGCTGATCACCCTATCTCCTGAAAAAAAAACTGTTCCCACAGCTATAAATACTCAACTATCCACAAACAGCAACAGAGCATGGACAGAGTTCCTACTCCAGTCCTCGGAAGATGCCGGCCACAGAGACTGGCGAAACGTCAGGAAGAACAACCTTCAGAACATGGCCAAAGAACCCGAAAAACCCACAACAGCTCTATAAGTTCCTTTAATGAAAATGGCCTACTTTAGTTGTGACTTACTTTTGTGCAATGAAAGCAGCCCATGTAAACTAATGGAACTTACAGAAGAGTTGACTCACCAAAGCCTCATATATTCAATGCTACTAACTATACTAAGCAACAAGATTTCAGTCATCATGTTGACAAAAGGAAACAGCCACATAATATTGTAGCATTTTAAGATTAACAATTTCATTTCAACATGAACCTTTGTGGATCAAGGTCTACTTCCTCAGACTCTGGAGTCTCATTTTCTACTTATTTATATTCTTTATGCATATAGTTGGGATACTTACATACGTACACTGGATTATTATCAAATACTTGTGCAGAGTTCCCTTCAACAATATACTGTTAATCTTCCAAAGGCTATCATTCATGCACCCAAATACCAAAGAGTTAATTGTACAAAAACCTCAGTATTCCTTTTTCATCATATATACATGTGAAAAAACCAGTGTATCATCGTCACACAGTATACTGTACATTCAAGTAAATACCATTTCCTACATGCAAGAGATCTCCACTTCAGAAACACACCTTAGCGTATAATTAGACATATATTAAAACGTTTATATGGATCCTACACATTCATCTACACCATCTGACAAAGAAGACATAAATTCACTCAGTTCTTTTATTTGTCTTTAATACTGTGGCTTGAACTCCATTTTTGAAAAATATTTATGAGAATCTGGTGGTTCATGATTCTTCTCCCTCCCCAATTAACAAGCAGCTAAAACTCATAATGTGTACACAGAAGTCAAATAAAAAACATCTGGAAAAAACAAAGGTGACTCTCCGTGGAAAGCAGTTAAGAAAAATTAAATGCTTCTGCTCAAAAGTAGGGATAGTTGAGCACAGTGAACAAACCTGCCTATGGAAAACCTAGTGTAACTGCTATAGGACAGAGCAATTAAACACCCTGTACTGGAATCAGTGACCAAGGATGTAATCCCGAGGCCTGGCTAAGTTAACATTAAACTGGCTGAAGCTGTGCTGAATCCAAACTCCTCCAAGCCAAAGATGTTGGAAATTACTCAAGATACCCTGACCAGGAACACGGTTTGTGCCAGTACAGTGGCTGTGAATCTGGACTGAGAATGGTTTAGATAAGATGAGTACAGAGTGTTTTTCTTCTGCAGGATACACATACATGACGCACCAGAGGCTGCACTTACCCACCTGGACCCACTACTCTTCTGCAGAAACTTTTAAAAATCCATGCCTTCCCAAAAAACTAATTAGCACACAGTAAGCCAGTAGCCAAATGGCAAAACAGGTAGAAGTATGAAGACAGTGGAATGAAGTCCCCTGAGGTCTGCACATCCTCAACAATCATTAACAGAAAGTCATTTCATAAAACCTGACTGAATAAACAGTGTTCTGAATGCATCAGCAGGCAATCCTAGCTGCTATTGCTCTCTTCCTTCTCTATTCCCATATGCGGCTGGACATCATTATGGCTACACTGACTCTGGATACATCAGCTCTCAGTCTCTAAAGTTTCTCAGTCAACGGGGTCCTCTCTTTCCTCAACTTCCTTTCCATTTATTGTATCCTGGGTGATCAGCTTTAACAATCTGTACTTTTTATTTCTATTATGGGACTGAATTATTCTAACTTTCTGCATTTTAATGTGTTTTATGATTTCTGGCTCTCCGGTCATTCTCATCAGTCACACTCTAAATCCAATAAATTATTAGCATTCTATGATAAACTTACATTCCAAATACTTCTTTTGAAATTGTTGTCTCTGTTAAAAGTCCATGTTTCCATACCACAGAACCAAGACTCTACAGCAGTGTACACAGTGCATTCTCCAAGCAAATTTTAAGGTTTTGTTTTGTTTGCATATTATGTTCTTCATTTTAAGAAAGCTGCCCAGGCCATCTCTTTCTGCTTTTTATTACATACGGTAGTTATGATCCCATGCTCATTCAATCAAATGGGACATTCAAAATATCTACTTGTGAACAGGCCAAGGTTGAGGGGAAAAAAATTATCTCAGAAAGTAAAAATGCCCAAGCAGAGGTTTGCATTACAGTAGCTAAATCAGGCTGCTAGAAAAACCACAATAGGTTTTTGAGGTTTGCTTCCTAGTTCTGAAAAGCATAAGTAATAGAATCTTCCCTTTCCTCAGTCCTTCTCTGGCACTTCCAAGTCTTATGCTTTCAATTCTTCTTCTAAAAGTATTTCTGTCCCCATCCACTGCCTTTATTGCTTCATTTCCCCATTTCTCCCCAAAGCATCTACCCCAGCTAAGAAGCATTGTAGGCCCAGTTGCTACACCTTATTTCATCCATCTGTTCTCTTTCAAATACGGTACCTTCCAAATCAACAAATGCTTACCACCTGATTCTACCGTCATACAGATGGTAGAATCCAGAAGTTCAGGGGCTACACAAGCCCACATCTGGGCCTTGCACCCAAACCTGCAACCCCAACCCTCCCCAACTTCTTTCTTACACATATTTTTGGCCCTGGGAGTCCTTCAAAGCATAGCAAAATAGCCTACAGAATATAAGGAGATATTCTGAGACTGCGCATTTTTAGAACTTTTAAATTTGGGGAGACTATGGGGTGGACATCTGCATATGAGAGCCCACATTTCCCACCACTGCAAAACTAGACAAATATTTTTAATAAGAGGAAGGTTTGTGTCACTGCAAAACTAGACAAATATTTTTAATAAGAGGAAGGTTTGTGTTGTGAGTTGATTGAATAAGAGACTACATAGAACAATTTCAAATTTCCCATCTGAAGTGGGAGGTATCAAGGATTTTTTTAGACTGTACTAGGGCATCACTGATGTGTTACATCACTTATAAGAAAACTAACAATGAAAAATTTCCTCTCAGAAGTAGGGGGAGACAGGAGGGAGCAAGGAGTATTTCCCTCCTTTTCTTTAATTTGTCTTAAAGGGCCAGTTGAGAACCTGCCTGCAGCTGAATCCATTTAGATATTCACTTGAATTTGCACCCATGGTAGCCATGTTGCTAATTTTGCAAGATATTTCATACCCACAGATGAAAGATTCTATGCCCACAGCTCCTATAATTTCTCTATCCAGAACCACAATCATTTGGCCAGTCAGACCTGTGATGCAACTGAGAGAAAACTGGAATGGCACAGTGTGGAAGAGGTTGCCTGGGTAGTCCAGGAAGCAGAGAACAAATTAAGTAGTTTGTCTATCATCAACTGTTTTTCATTCCAATTACTCTGTCCTGATTCCATTCTGCCAAGAGGATATAACAGTTGAGGTTATATTACACAAGATGGCCTAATAAATTTGTAGTCCTGGGGTATTCCTTGTACTGTATTCCACCCCCAAAAAGAGAGGAAATAAAACTACTATGCAGTTTACCCTGAACAAGAATAATTTTGCTCAACAGAAGAGTCATCTTGCTATTTTACAAAGAGGCATCCTAGCTTTAGCCAGCTCATGCACAGTTCACTAAAAGAAAACTTGATAGAGTCAGAACAAAGCACGTATTCTGAGCATACACTGTATGCACCCACTTTGACCTTATATTAAGCAATCGTTATGGCAAGATTAGAAAAATACAAGTAGAAATGACCCTGTTTCCCAACATACATGTAGATTTCAAAAAGGCATGTTACCAAGTCACATACTCTATTTCCTCTTATTTTATAATACATGAAGCAATCTGCACATTCAGACAGACATCATACACTCCATTTCCAAAGCAACAACTGTGTATGTCTGTCTTAGCATGTTGGCAAGAGTAAAGGGGAAAATATAAAGAGAAGGATGGAAAGATAAAATATTGTAGAATTTTATGGTAAATAAGTTTATTTCAGTGTGCCTTCCCTATGTCTCAAGAAGTTGACTTCTGTTTCATAACAATCCACACTGAAAGAAAACTGTTTATCTTTTAAAAGCTACAATATTTTGCCGTCTTCCCTTTTCTTTTTCCCTTTACTTTAGTGTCAACATGCATAGATTCAGGCACACTTATTCCCACTAAGTCTCTAGGATTAAACCTATTTAAAGCACTGTGGCTCACCTGGTCTCTAGGGTCTACCAAAATTATAAAGGCAAATAATATACACCTCAAATTACACTTAGAAAATAAATACAACCTGTTCTGTATCTGAGCCACTTGCTGCAGTAGGAAAATCACACAAAATGTATGTCAGTTGAAAAAGTGTACTTTTCCTTGAAGCACTGCAGTAAAGGAACAACAGAAGTGTCATCTGAAGCAGAAATGAACAAGATGGGGAAAATAAAGAAGGACTAACAGCAGCTCTTCTGTCTTATAGATTTCTGTATCTCCCCATTCAAAAACCTGAACTGTTACTAGGCGGCTAACTTACTGGTGAGGTCAGAATCAAATATCTGAATTTTCTTCTATAATGTTAGCAAATTCAACTAATTAGCCAAATTCTACTAATGGTGCCATCAGATAGGAATACAGCTTGAATTCTGGATGTCATGTGGCATGGTCCAGTGCAAGCTATTTCCTGGCAGACAACATATGGAAAAGAGTAGTCCAACCCAATCTCAAACAGTGACCTTTCTGCTGTAGTAGCATGGTTACCTTTGTTTGGGATGGGACTGGATGATTCTCCAATGGACAGGAGGGTCATTTTAAGGATGACTGCTCTCAACAAAGTGACTGTTTCTGGTGCAATCAGACACAATCCTTTCTAGTTGTCTGATCATACTCTTACTGCAGTATTATTTATTCTACATGTTCTGCTTACTTACTTGTTGGTAAGATGCCAAATCACTTTTTCACACTTCAGTTTAAAGTTATTTTCCTATTTGCCTAACAACTCTTGTTGTGAGAGAAACAAGAGTATTGTTCATGAAGAAATAAGTGCCCTTTTTATAATAGGTGAGAAAGGAAAATTATGATCACATTCAGCAGTTTACGTAAGTGCCTCCAGAACAATTGCTACTAAGAAACAAATCTCACTTAACAAGAAACACCAGCTCTTTCATACTTCTGAGGAACTCTGCTAAAAGACCATTAAGGTAAATCAGCAGACAGGGTCTGCTTTCTATAACATCATTATGAAAAATCTCTTCTAAACAATTCTATTTTTCATAGAGAAGGAGTACAGATATAAATGAGCAGTATCAGATATTCTATAGCTCATTGTTTATTAATAAATTGTTTTTGTTGTTGCTGTTTAGTCGTTAAGCTGTGTCCGACTCTTTGTGACCCCCATGGACCAGAGCACGCCAGGCCCTCCTGTCTTCCACTGCCTCCCGGAGTTGGGTCAAATTCATGTTGGTAGTTTTGATGACAGTCCAACCATCTCATCTTCTACCATCACCTTCTCCTTTTGCCCTCACATTTTCCCAACACCAGGGTCTAATAAATTGTACTATCGTAAATTAATTCTGTGTATAATGAATGGGGCAAAGACTATTAATCTAATTGGTTGTGCACTATCAAACCAATCTGACGACAAAGAGATCAAAACTTAATAAAAATATCTTTACCAGCACTCAGCAGTTTGTGAAACTGCATCAATGTTATTGAAACATGAATGCTGTGGTATTTAAAAATTATGTGAACTCTCCAGTGGCAATTAAACTATATTTCCAACAGGTGATTATTCCCTTACAGCCCTAAAAGATAATTATTTAGCTATAGAAAATGCTGACATAGGCAGTGGTTTACACCTTCTTCATTCTTAAACATTTGTATTGTATTGGTGATTTTTATTTTTGAGCCTAGACAGTCTTGAAAGCTCTCAGGAGAGTTTTCACATAAAGAACACATTACAAACTTCCATTAGCACTGGGCATCAAATTTAAAATAAATACCAGTAATCTAATGACGTCCTGCAAGAGCACATGTATTATAAATAAAATTCTTCAGGCAGGAAGCGTCATAGAAGTTGACATTTTTCTCTTTGAAGAACAAAGTAAATTTATACAGAAATGCCAGTATGTTTTGTGAAAATATTTGGAAAGTAAACTAAACACTGGCAAATGAAGGCATTTCTACATATTTCTATTTCAAAACACACCATTTAAGTAAGATAGAAATTGCTACAGTACTCAGTCTCAGGACTTCAAATTTTAACAGTTAAGAAAAGAGACAAAGAATGATCAATAACTGAACTTGACAAAAAATACATAATGATTTACAGTTATTAGGAGATAACTAATGACCAGAAAAGGTAAAGAAAGCTTGCTACTTCCTGAATGAAACGAATAGTGTTTTTGGTTCAGTTCAAATAAAATCTAATTTGGCATCTGGCATCTAAATTGGATACTGGTCAACATAACTCAGTCAAGGAATATTAACTGATGACCTTGCTCAACTCTGCCATCTCACTCTTAACCCTGTTTCCTATCCATCTTTATCTCAGAATAAGCCAAGATGTAATGAAAGCAGTGGTAAGACTTGCCACTGAGTGAACTTGCACAGGACTAAAATCCTATTGAGAGTTCTCTCTGTCCCTCACCCCAATAGCTACTAATATAATCCAGCACAATCTATTTTATTAGGGCAAAGGCCATCTTGATATAGCTTCCTACTTCTCTACAGTGATTAACCAAATGCTTATGGGAAGAACCACAAAATACACGTCTCCCCAGCACAGCAACTTGCTTGCTTGCTCAATTATCTTCACGTATATCCCACCTTTCTCCCAACTCAGGAACCCAAGACTGCTTACTAAGGATGAGGGGACAGCAAATAAAGAGAATAAAAGTAAAGACATGTATACAAATGTATCATTATAACATAAAGGTAAAGGTAAAGGTTCACTTTGACCATTTTTGTCCAGTCGTGTTCGACTCTAGGGGGCGGTGCTCATCCCCGTTTCCAAACCACAGAGCCAGCGTTTGTCCGAAGACAATCTTCCATGGTCACATGGCCAGTGCGACTTAGACCGAGGTGGTCCCTATTTATCTACTTACAGGAGCTGGAACAAGCGACGGGCACTCACTCCGTCACGTGGATTCGATCTTACAGCTGAAGATCTACAGACCTTACAGCACAGAGACTTCTGCAGTTTAACCCACAGCACCACCATGTCCCATAATTATAACATAATAAACCTTAAAATGTGCACATTTAAAACCAAAAATCATAAAAGACAATTCATTAAGACAAAAAACTAAGATAAGTACACATTTAAAAGTTATTTATGTTATGCTTCCTTAGAAGACACTGATGAGGAATACTGTCAAATATTTTGAAAAATTTGGTTAGAAATCTGTTTCTAGTAGTAAGAAACACATTGAGGTAAAGGATGCACTTCTTGTTTAGTACACTTGCTGTGATTTTTTATTTTTTTATTTATTTTAAAAAGAAATAAACAAATCAACACTTTGAGTGTTTTACACTGGGGAAGTGAAACTGGTAATACCACTCCTTAAATATTTAACTTTTCTTGAAAGCCCTATTAGGGCTGAGATAAGTTGGTTCCAACTTGGCAGCTCAGATCACACACACAAGGACTGATACTGAATGTCACTGTTACTTTGTGTTTCCTTGGCTATTTTATTTCCAAAACTCAGTAAGAAAAAAATAGTAACACTAGTCCAGTGACTTAGAAATTTCTCATTTAACAATGCCTACAATTTTCATCACCTTGACACAGTACTTCAGATTCACTACAAGGAAAAAAGTTTTGGTTTGAGCTTCCCCTCCGACATCTCTTGCAGCAAAATTTAGAAAAAACAGGTATATTCAGCAGATGCCATTAACAGGAAGCAAATGAATCTCATGCTGTCAATGCGCACCAATTTGTCATCCCAATACAAAAGGAATATCTAACCAGATTTTATTATTTTTTGTCTGAGGTTTATTTTATTTTCACACCATCTTTCTTCCACTGAGACCTCAATACTGTCTTGCTATAGTAGTCTTGACAAATAACCCAAACCACAAGAGTAACAGAAACTATCTGTGAGGGTCCTTGTGCTATCTCCAGTCAAACCCTTCAGCTGCCTAAGGTGCTAAGAGTTTCCTCTACATCAGGTAAGGGGAACAGTTTTCCATTTTCAATACCTCTGTTTTAGTTTCCTAAGTCCATATTAGGGCAATGTTTTATTAGGAAAAGTAGAAGGCGTTTAAAGCAAACATGCTAAGGAGCCCTTACCTACACACCAAACAAATAACACACCAAACAAGCAACAATAACTTTCGGTTACAGAGTAACCTGCTCCCTTTTCAAGCACAAATAAATAACAGCTCTCCTCACCACACCACCAAGACAGGATGATTTTCTAAACTCGTTTCCTTCTCCCTGCTCTTCTACCAAAGTGTCCGCAGAAGGTAAGGTACACACCGCTGTTCACTGTCGTCGCACTTCAGCTCTTGAGGGAAGGGGTTAAACAACGGACAAATATACCCAACCCATCACCCTTGAGAGGGCAAGCCTGGCATCCTCGGCGGCAGCACAACCTGATCCCCCCCCCTCTTGTGTCATCTCTGGGTTCGGGGCACCGAGACCTCCTCTGGCCAGAAATCCCGCCAGGACAGGCTTGGCGTCCGCCCACCCCCCTCGCCCGACGCGCCGGCGAGCACCTCTTATTTTGTCCCGGGAAAGTGACCAGGGAGGCAGACGCTCGGACCGAACCGACTCCTTTCCCCTTGCGGTGTGTGTGTGTGAGGGGGGGGCAGCTTCGGGACGTGCCCGAGAGACCTGGGAGTGTCAAGCTAGGCCACCGACTGCGCGACCCACTTCCCCCCAAAGACCGGCTGACAAAAGCCTCTCGGCCGCTGGAAGCAGAGGGGCGCGGCCTCCCCTTGGGACCCCTGAGGCCTTCTTTCCTTCCCCTATCCCGGGAGAGCGGCGGAGTAGGAGTAGGCCCCGGCCCCACCCTCACCCTCCTCCTCCTCCTCCTGTTTGTTCTCCTTACCCAGCAAGAGGAGCTTCACCTCCTTGGCCGCCTTCTCCCCGTCCTCGCGCAGGTTGCGGTCGATCATCCGGCTCCTTTCGGCGGCCGCCTTGTCTTCGGCGCTCAACGTGCAGCCCATCGCGGCGGCGGGCGGCAGGCACCACTCGCTCTTCTCGGCGGCTGCAAAATCCAAAGGAGAACGAGCTCGGAGGCGGACACAGACTCGAGGAGGGAGGAGGCCGAGAGAGACGAGAGAGAGAGAGAGAGCACCCATCGCGGCGGCGGCGGGCGGGCGGCAGGCACCACTCGCTCTTCTCGGCGGCTGCAAAATCCAAAGGAGAACGAGCTCGGAGGCGGACACAGACTCGAGGAGGGAGGAGGCCGAGAGAGAGAGAAAGAGCGCCACCGGAAACGCGTCGACTTCCGCTTCTCATGGGCCACTGACGAATGTCGAAGGGCCCCATGGGAAATGGAGTCGAAGTGCTGGTCTCAACAACCTTTCAGCAGGATGCGGAAAGGAGAATTGAGCTCTCTCTCGTCCATAGACTTCTGTGGAGGGTATTAGATAGTGGGAGTTGAGAATCCACGGAGATGATACCTTTGCTACGGGGCATTTGCTAGAACGCTTGTTGTTTTTCTCTTTGTTTGTCAAAGGAGAAGCGGGAACAAGAATCTCTGCTCGACTCTCTCTCTCTCTCTCTCTCTCTCTCTCTCTCTCTCTCTCTCTCTGTGTGTGTATGTACATGTGAGAGAAGGAGAGCGACAGAAACGTGCATGTTTTAAACCAAGAACTCTAAAGTAATTCCCAAGTGTAAAAATCCACATTGATTCCCACAGTTTGCTCCTTGTGTCAACTATGCCATTGTTACCTTGTGGACTGATGAAATAAATCATTTACAGCCTGATAGCCTATTCCATAACCAACGAACCATTGCCACTTTGTCCTTTATTAAAGTGGATTTGATTCATGAAAGCTTGCATAAAATATAGCAGTCTTTAAGGTGTCACAACATTTTGTCTCTTGTTTCTGTTTCCTTTTTTGTCTGATATGTTTTCAAGGTAGATTTTTAGGGTGGGAAAGGAAAGTTAAATGTGGTTTACTAGGCCTCTTATCCTCACATGGTTGGGAAAAGAAGAGAACTGAGGCTAAAAGCAGTTGTTTTCCTCAGCCATTGTTATCATTCAGGCAAGTGTTATATTTCAGAAGACCAATTGGAGCTGAGACTGATTCATGACAATACTGTAATAGAATGGAGACCATTTTTGTGTTTGTTCTGTGCTGTCCAGTTGGAGCTAACTTATAGCAACCCTCATACATCTTTCAGGGAAAGCGCTTTAAGGAGTGGTTTTTACCAATTACAATCCCCCACTGAGTTTCCATGGCCAAGTAGAGATTGGAACCCTTTTCTCCAGAGTCCTAGTCTGTTACACTATCCACTACACCACACTGTGAATTCCCATATTAGACTTGTGCAATTGGTGATTACTGCCACTCTATATTATCTCCCCATTTCAAATCAGGGACAGATTAAGGGTAAACACATATTTTCATCCAGTCCTGATTGCATACATCCATGCACAGATAATATTACCTGCTGCAATATTCTAGGTAATACATAGTTACATGCAAAGTTATAGCAGGCAAAGATGGTCAGTACAGTATGGTTCCTGCCAGCTCGCACTGAGTTGATAGACTCCATCTATGCTAGAATCCACACATATCGGACCAATGAATTGAAACAAAACAGGATTTATTGAACTGGAAAGGGATTGAACAATAACAGGATGGGTACTCAGTCTCTTCTCTAGGATTCCAATTCCTGGCATTGGTCCCAGGTCTCTCACTACAGGCTCACTTCCTTTGTCTTCACCCCTCAGAATGAGTTCAGTCTCTTCAGGGTCACTAGTTCTCCTCATTAGTTCTTAGGGTTTAACTGTTCATAAGGTCCCTCTGGGGATCTGGCATGTCTCTGTCCAAGTCCCAGGAAGGAAGGTCAGTACACCTGCAATGAGGGCAAGTTTGAGACAGAGTTCCTGGCAGGCCTCAGAAGTGCTTGATTTCTGGGCCCCTTTCTCACTGCTCTCTCTGAGTATGGAAGTGCAGGTATCAACCCCTATTTCCTCCATTCTGGCTTCTCTTTGTTCCCACTCACTCCAGTACAAAGGCCATGGGAATTTGGGTTTTCTTGGTTTTTTTCTTCCCCTGCTTTTGGCACAGAGTGTTGCCACCACAGATGGACAAGCCAAGTGACCAAGGGACAACTGCAAGGATAATTTGCTTATCTATCCCCACTAGACCTGGGCCTGTCCAAGACATTAGGTTTAGAGGCATGAAAATAAACGTAACCAGGCTTAAAGAGCAACTTCTAGCATTTGCCCCAGATCTTTGTGAGGTCAGAGTTGGCCAAAGAGGCTGTGAGTAGGAATAAGGCCTTGGGGAAAAGATCAACTGGAGCATTCTGCAAACCTTGGCAATCGCACCCCCCATCTCTCATTTTACAGAGGACAGAATGAGAATCTGCAGCAAAGCCAGTCATTGTACTGCCTCAGGCATACAAAAAGAGGGCAATCCTCCCATTCCAGGTATGTGTGAGGTGAATAGTCACCTCAACCAGGATCAGGAGAGTGTACCGTCTGACTCTCAAACAAAGACTGAAGAGCAAGAGATGGGAGTTACAGAAAGGGAATTAAGTAAATTAGAAATAAAGGAAGAGACTTAAGGGGGCACAAATCAGGTGGGAAAAGAGGAAGATAAAAAGGGGAGAAGGAGGGGGTGAGGTAGAAGCATCTTGGGGGAGAGAGAAAAAAGAAGAGGAAAAAGAAGAGCTTGTAGAGTTGATTCAAGGAGACCCTTGGACAGAAGAGTGGGTGGAATTCAAATTGCCACATGAGTACACTGAAAGGGAATGGAGACAACCGATGTATAGAAAGCCACCTTACTGGGGGGAGACAGAGGAGAGAAAGCAAAAGAAAGAGTACAAAGTGTGGGTAAAGAGGGAAGAACAGAGAAGAGAAAAGCAGAGATGTATAGTGAGTCCGGAGACATCCCGTGGGCCCTTCAGACCCTGACAGAGAACAGTTCATGGCTTGATAAAGGGGGAACGCCAAGAAGGTTCGACGTTCAATCCATAAAATTGAAGTGGGCAGAGAATATGTCAGAGTTGATGGGTGCCAAACCCAAGTGGCCTCACAATGTTACTAGTTATTCCCCGTTGTCATACCATGAAGAGATACCCAGTTTTAATAACATTAAGACTTATGATTTATTGTTGAATTCGGATGATGATAAACAAGACTCAAAAACTGATGAAGGCATGTTAAATAATAAACCAGTTTTATTAGAAGAACTGAATGTGATGACTGCTTCTTTGGACAAAGTTAAGAAAAAGGAGGTAGATGACCAGCGGCAAGATCACAATATGAAAGTCAACCAGAGAGGCAGCTGAATTTTTGTTTCACTACTGCCAATGGCATTGCATCCTCCTTTTCCACACCTAAGGCAACAGGCTAGCATAAGGAGAAGGGCAGGATGTTCCTCACACAGTTTTGTCCTCTTCCCAGCTCCTGCCCTTTAACACCTGTCATCTGATGCATCATAGGCATCCTTCAGTCTCAAGAGACTATGGTAATGTGCTCTGTATGGAGGACTTGGAACAGCGTCTAGTGTTTTGATGCTGTACGCGAAGCTGGAGTGTCCTCTCCGAGGCTCAAAGCCTGGGTAAAATAATATGGAGGATAGGCTGTTACCCAAGCAGCAAATCCCCCCTCTCCATGTTGCTGAAGTAGTCCAATGGAAAGGCAAGCGCAAATATAATTCGTTTCAGTGACATCGCAAGAGTTGACAGAATGACACGAACTGCCTCCAGGACTCCAGCTCTGGATTTTGCCTTGTTAACTCCTAAATAATCTTGTTCTGCACTTCTCTTGTTGGTTATTAGCTGCCTACTGGTTATTAGCTGAACCCTCACACAGTGACCATGCTGGTTAGAGACTTGGCCCTTCTGGTTTACCATTTTGGGATTCATAGTCCAAAAACAGTGATTTTTTTAAAAAAAAACCCTCTGGTTTGTGTCTTATGGGCTTGACATTAAGAACTGGCCCAATCATGCAAAGCTTAAGTATGAGCAGTCAAAGAGTCTAGGCCTACCCAGGGAAAGGCCAGTTCCTCTTTTGGGAACTGTAGCATAATCTATTGCCAAAGAACATTGCATTAAAATCTACATAAAACACTACCAATCCTCAAGTGTCTGGAGGTATTAGACATTGTTGTTCTGTGCCATCAAGTCAGAACTGACTTATAGCAACTCTCATAAGGTATTCAAGGTAAGGAGTGGCTTTACCAGATCCACTACCCCAGTGAGTTTCTGTGGCTGAGTAGGGATTGAAACCCAGGCCTCCTGATTCCTAGTTTGCTACAGTACTTTATTTGTTTGTTTGTTTGTTTGTTTGTTTGTTTGTTTGTTTGTTTGTTTGTTTAACTAACTAACTGACTAACTAACTAACTAACTGACTAACTAACTAACTAACTAACTAACTTACGTACTTACTAACTAACTAACTAACTAACTAACTAACTACTAACTAACTAACTAACTAACATATGCTGCCCACACTACCCGGAGGTCTCTTTGTCTACTACACCACACTGGATATCTTATGAAATGTTAGCTCTTGTTTATAATCCCCGGATACTTCTGAACTATTCAATAGGAAACATCCTGTTCCTACCCAAGAGAATGGTATCAGAGTTATAAAAGAAAAAGAAAAAAACTTAGAAACAGTATCTGTTACAACAGCCCCTGGGAAGGAAACATTATTTCAGTCTTTCCTCCAAAATAGAGAAGTTCTTGTATGTGTCCTTCTATTGCCCTCTAGTGTCCTTTATATAGTATTTGCAAAATTTGAAATACAAAGAGGTACTAAGGTACACTTGAAACCCATGTTTATTATGAGTAAGTCACATAAACGGCACAAAATTCTCTAATCAAGATTTTGGGAGTTTTTAAAAAAATCTCCATTGGGCACAGCATTACAAAAAGCAACAGCACTTTTGTGTAGTCTAGTACTATTACACACTACACCTGATCTTCGCCAAAAAGCCAAGAAGCATTATTAGTTAGTCTCCTGATACAGTGAAGGAAGGTCTGGAGGTGAAAAATAACAGCAACTGCACCCACCCAATTTATAGGTAGGTGTCCAGGCCTAACATGCCATAGAGAGAAAACAAAGGAGCCTTTCCAATTTGACAGCCACAGACAAGAGAGAAGCAAAATAAATCAAGCTTAGTATACTTTTCCTTTTTGGTTGTATTGTCATCTACAGGCTGCACTGTGAAACTACAGGTTGGAATTTGCCATTTATACCAGGAAGGGTAAAGCCAATTGAAAGCGACAAACATATCGAACAAAT